TCCGATGGCTGAAGATAGTTGTGACCTCCTCGTACCAAAAAACCAAATAGTCTCGTGATAAAATTCCAAAAACAAATATTAAAAGATAAAATACTAAAAATAAAATACATTTCCCTGCCTCAAAGTGCGGTCACCACTGTTACCCATAAACGTCCAGTGAAGGAAGAAAATGAAAAGGCAAAATCAACTAAAAAAAAAAAAAATACATTTCCTTGTGTAAGTTGTCGGCCCAAGGATACTGATGAACTATAAAATATATCTACATTGAAAGAGAGACAAAGTAAAGGACACAAAAAACGCAAGAGAAAGGAAAACAGCACAAAATGCAGTGTCATGGGAACATTTTCGTAGACTGATGAAGAGATTTCACCTAATCACATCCTTTTTTCTTTTTTTTTTCTGAAAATTCGAGAGAGAGAGAGAGAGAATGACTATTATACGTCAAGTTTCCCACAAAATTCAGAGAAAGAAAGAGATTGCAAACACATTAGGTGCCATATAAAACAAAAACCGGGGGTTAAGGTGTACATTTTGTATGGTTTTTTTTCTAAAATATGCGCCACATTTTCTTATCAACCTTTCTAGTAAGTCCCTATAATCACGCCAACCTTTGGCATTTAATACTGAAAGACCAATATTTGATTTCTTAGAGAGAGAGAAGGCTTTGAATTCTTAGAGAGAGAAAGGGGGGGGGGGGGGAGAGAGCTCTAAGGATTCGGTGATTAAGCTTCACATTTCAGCTGATTCCAGTTCCTTGCTCCCATAGGAGCATAATGTATACACACTCCTCAGGCAAAGACCTATATGGGATGATTTTTATTCTCAGAAAAATTTAAGATCCACCTAAGAATAAAAAAACTATATATCTCGAGTGTTTCAAAATTTCGATTGTATTGTAAAAAAAATAGGTGGTCTTTATTCAATCTCGGGGTATTATTTTTTCATGCACATACAAAATAATGTTATTTTTATTTGTTATTTTTTATTCATTTATTCGAGATTGGACGCTAGGATCAAGGGATTATCTCTTTGAGGTCCTAAAAATACTCCTAGCTTGACTTTTACCTGAGGAAGCAAATACACACTATAGTCCTGCGGTAGCCGAAAATCATTTCACTTATCTATAGGGCCTACAGTTCATAGGAAATGTACGCATATTTTATTAGATTGAGAAGGACCTCTAAACAAGAGCTTTGAACTAAATTAGTCATATAACATGCTTTGCCCTAATGTTGCCCACATAAAGTGGTAGGTTGCACATGCATGTTGCACCTTTGGTGGTCCACGTAAGTTCCATACCAATAGTGGATTCGAACGCATGGATTTTCTAAAATAAAAAACACATATTAATAAAGTAATTGTAATTACACAAATAAAACGCATTAGCAACGTGTTAAGATATTATAAAAGAATATGAAAGTTTTTATGTAAATAAAAAAAATCATCACAACTGCAGGTATAGAAAAATGAAGAGAATATATAAGGGAAAGTATATAATAAGACCATTTATCATTGGTACAAGGTGATCACAATTAATCTTGACCATTAGATGTGAATTTAGATGGTTGTATTAACCAAGCTCATAGTTCAAAATTTTTTTTCTTGAACTCTGTGACATACCTAAGCTATTAGATTTCACGTCGGATGATTATAAGTAAGAGAAAAGTTTACATAGAGCCAAAGCTCTAAATAATCAAATTAGAGCCTACCACAAAAATTTCACCGGAAGAGATTGTTTTGATGCTCAAATATCCTCAAATTGATCATCTCGACATCAAGATACATAAACATGAGAAAAAATGGATTTCAAGTTTTGGAAATAGTATATTTTGTAACATATTTTTGGACCGTCAATTTTCAAGTTTTATAGATATATCAATCTACATTATTTTTTAAGCTCTAAAATTTATAAATAAAGATGAAAATATATTTTAAAGCTATCATAAAAATTTCCAGTATTGAAACCACATTTCTCGATACTATTTGACGATAGGCTCTAATTTGATTGTTCTCTATACTGACTGCAACCTATAAGTAATTGTGACATCTTTATACTAAAGGTAAATGGCCTCATTGTATACAATATTTAAATATAACGTAGGATAAGTTCTCCGTATATGCAGATTTATCTAAGTCAAAATTAATAATAATTGTTGTGAAAATTCAAGAAAGCAGTAACAAAAATATGTTATGAGAGAATATAATGTTTTTTAAAAAAAAAAATTAAAATATGTAAAGGAAAAGTCTCCCACCCACGGGGTGCACAACGGCTCAAATTGAACAAGGTCTCGTCCAACAGTCACAAACTAATCTTGTTTTTGATATCAATGTCGCTTCAAGTGGATTTCACAAGTAAAAAGCATTTTAGGGTAGAAAAGAGTTCATTTAAGGTGGAAAACTTATAGAAATTAGGTGTGCATTAATGGACGTCATCTATTCTAATGAGATTAGTGTATATTTGGCACTATCTTAAAAGATGTGATGGGTTTTAAAATTATATTAAAGGGAAAATAGATCCTTCGACTCTATTTTCAATTTATATTTCTTTCTAAATCCAAAAATTCAAAACTTATTTTTTAATCTTCAAATAATTTTATCTATTTTTATTCCAATTTTTCACCCAAACAAATTAAAAAATACCTCATTTTCTAACTCTCTCTCCGCACGAGTTACAATCTCTCCTCACGTTTCTCTCTTTTCCTCTCTCTTTTTGCAACCCATTTCTTACGAGCTCAACACAGGTGGAAACTGGGAGATTGTAGAGAAAATGGGCCACCTTTTCCAGTGAGGTCCCGCGAACTCCTTTGCCAGAGATGAATGCATCGAGATCGCCGGAAAAGTGTTTGAGAAAAAAGATGGGGTTTCTTTTCCGGTGTCAGTGGCATTTTCATGGCAAAATAAGCAGAGCAAACAAAAAGATGATCAAATTCCGACGAAAGACTCTGATTTCCCGGCAATTATTTCCAAAATATTGGCTAGGTCTTCACCAGAAATCTACTATTGGGCTGGAACCTTCATCGGAAACCTTGCGTTTTAGCTGCAATCCTCATCAGAAACCTCTCTCCAAGTAGGCTAAAAACCCCTGACCTTTGGATTTTCCCTTACTCTTTGCAAATCACGGTCAAAATTTCAGTCATCACACTCATTTTCTCTGTTATTCCTGTATATTGGAGCTGAATTCAATTTGTGAAACCCTAAAGTTCAGGCAATAAAACCACAATGAACGTTATCTGCGTTTTCTCTTTCTTCCTGCAATCTCTGGCCATTTTCCTGCCATCAACCACCAACTCGTAGTTCTGTCCAATCTATATTTAAATTTGTGCCAAAGTTACTCTCATCAAACCCTAATTCCTTTGCTACTCCGATTCCCTGCACATTCCGGTCAAGATTCCGGCCAAAATGCTGCCCGTGAAAATGGATCCCCCGTCATTTCGCCGAAGAAACACGGTTCCGGCCTCTATGTCCATTGAGCTTCGGCTACCTTCGAAACCTTAAAGTTCGAGCTTTCCCATGGCCTACCTGACTCTAAAGAGTTGGGGGAGATAGAGAGAGAGAGGGGTTTAGAAAACGATATCCGTTTTAAATTTGTTTGGGTAAAAAAATTAATAAAAAATAAATAAAATATGTTTAGGGTGTTAAGAGATATAATAGTGTGAATTTTTCTGTAGTAAGATAGATTTTGCAACTTTAGATCGATGGAGAAATAAAAATTGAAAATGGAATTTATAAAGATATTTTCTCTATATTAAAGGACGTGTCAAATTTATAATTGTCAACTAAAATAGACGGTGGAAAACATAACAATCTTATTTCTATAAGTTGCTGCCTAATATAAGCCATGTCCTTTAGGGCATGCATGACAATGAGGCAGGAGCAAGTTAGCCAAACAAAGGCCTTAGCCTGAGCTTAGATAGTTGGCAAATGTTGGTCCACACCATTTTTTCACATATGGTCATGATAATAGGAGCAAAATCCCTTGGCATTGGGTTATATGTTACATATACTGTCTACGCATGGCTTAGTCATGCAGGATGTCAAGCCCAGTACAAGCTCTATTTTAAATCGAATATCATTATCGTCATTGTGAAGCATTTTTCCAATTAATTGAGGTTGGTTATATGAATCTTGATCTACCATTCTACTCTATCACGGGTCATACCCTCAACGATGTTATAAGTTATATATTTTTTCACTACTTCCAACTATGTCCTTTTAGGCCTACCCCTTGATTTTTTAGAGCCTTTCACTTGAACTAACTCGGACCTCTTGACATGTGTTGTACTTGGTCTGCGCCACACATGACCAGCTCACCTAAGGTTATTTTTTCTCATCTTATCGCCTATTATTGGTGGCACACTTAAATTTTAACTAGTATCTTGCCCCTCAAATCCCTTGTCAAAGCCAACTCCAAACAAAACGTAATAAAAATACAATTTCTAGCAAATAACTTAATTTGCGCATTCTTTTTTTGAGAATTCAACTCATATAGCATCTATGACAAAGTTATGTTGATTATTCCGTAATTTCAATAGAACCAATTATGAGATTACCAATTATGAGATTATAAAGCCAAATTATTGCAAAATACATTAGTAAATCTTTTAAATGTCGCACACGTGTTAAAAAAGCAATAAAAGCAATAGTAGGAATAAAAATGAGATATAGCTTGCTAACATCAATTGCTAACCAAATAATCATAAGATCATATGTTTCAATTGTATAAAGAAATGTGTTTCTCGTATTCAAACAAAATATATCATTAATTTGCAATGCACAAAGATTTCACTGACTTGAAATGCTTGTTCAAGGAACCAATTATTCAAGTATTTATACTCCCGTGGGAGCACACATGCATACTCCTTTGGGCAAGAGACTCGAGTAAATTTTTTTTTTTTTAAAAGAGATTTATTAAATATTCTTGAGATAGACGAAGTAATTAACATTTTGCTCATTTGCAACTACTCCAACACAAAAGAGAGAGAGAGAGAGAGTATTTTCTTGGTCACATTCAACCCAACTTCTGCATACTACAAACCATTTACATAGAAATCAAAGGATCAAAATGGCAAACATTCCCCCATATGTTTCCATCTCATCTCTAGCCAAAAGAGGGAACTAAAGGAAAGATATCATCAAACCTAGGATTTGAGGATGAGTTCCTCAATACAAAGAAAATGATCAAAATGACAAAGCAAATGATCAAAATGTTTAAAATGACAAACAAAAGAGGGGACAAAAAGGAAGATATCATCAAGCCTAACATTTGAGGATGAGTTCCCCCATACATAGAAAGCAAATGATCAAAGTGAACAAACATTTCCCCCTTATGTTCTATCTCATCTCTAGCCAAAAGAGGGAACACAAAGGAAGATGTCATCAAGCCTAGCATTTGAGGGTGAGTTCCCCCCATAAACCAGCATCCCCTCTCCAGCACTCGAAAAAGCAGACCAGCCCCTCGGCCCTGGGTGGTGGTCCCCACTTGTTTCCCACTTGTGCCATGTCAGCGTCTCCGTGTTCAGGCTATACATATCACCAGTAAAGGCCCCAGCCCCCAAGTGCCCTAGATCACTGGGGTCGACCTCTCCGCCGTAGATCAAGATGTGATTCCCGAATCCAACAGTTGCAAACACGCTCCTTGGGCTCGGCTTCTCCCCCTTAGTCTCGACATGGCCCCACTCTTGGGCTTCCAGATCGTAAAAATGCACGTCGTCTAATTCTTCTCCCGAAAATCCATATATGACCCATACTTTTCCCATTGAAACTGCTAGGCCTGGACCACCCCTCCCCTTTAAAACATGACTAGGTTGCTTAAATTTTACCCACTTATCTGAATCAACTTCATAAGCCCACAAATCACTGAGCCTTCCATCTACACCGCACCCTCCGAAGATGTACACATGTTGATCATCTGAGGCCGTGGCATGGTAGCTTCGAGCAGGGGGGCCCTCCTCTCCAGATGACAATTGTTGCCATTCATTGGTTACCGTATCGAACGAGTAGAACTCATTGAGTTCTTTGTGGGTTCCGTCTCGACCACCAAAAACATAGATCTTGTCCTTGACAGCAGCCATGGTGACACCGACACGAGGTGGTGGAGCGTCTCCTGAGACATCCACAATGGACCAAGAGTGTGTGTCGAGGTCGAAGACATGTAATTTGTTGTCGATAGGGACGCGTGGCTCGAGTTCGCCACCAAACACATAGGCCTTCCTCCTGACAACGGCCACGGCGTGCGAGCTCCTTGCGCAGGGGCCATCGGCTTTGGGTGTCAACTACAATGAAAAAGAGGAAAACAAGAGTAACACATTGTATATGGCTTCTAATTGCCCAAAGAAGTGGGCTAAGGGAAAAGTGATTTCAAAGAAGCTAACACAGAGGAACACAAGAATTTTAGTAGTGAGGCAACTTCTTATCAAAATGTGTCATGGAGAACCAGAACAACTTTTAAATGTATTTCAAAAGGACAAAGTTTATATAAGGGCAAGGCTCTAAACAATAAACTTAGGGTGCACCTCAAAAATCCACTAAAAGAGGTTATTTTGAAGTAAAAAAATCCTCAAATAGATCATATTGACCTCAAGATGTATGAATATAAAAAAAAATAGATTTCAAGTCTTAGAAATAGTGTATCTTCAAATGCATTTTCGGACCGTCAATTTTCAAGATTTTCAAGTGCTCATAGATAGCTCGATCTACACTACTTTTAAAGTTTTAAGTTTTTTAATTAGAGATGAAAATAGATTAAAAAGGTTTCCAATATTGAAGCAACATCTTTCAACACTATTTGAAGGTGCTCTAATCCACACTTATTTCAAAAACTATGCTATGCAAGCCCATTTCTGCGAACACAAAGTCAGGATTAAAATGGTTTTTGTCTTTCCACCGAAAACATATTATAAGAGAAAAGAGCGCCTATTTGTCCTCCTTCAGGAGCACATTGTATATCTAGTCCCTTCGCTAAAAGACCCATTTAGGTAGATTTTTATCAATAAGAAATTTTGGAATCCACTTCAGAATACCAAATAATAATTTTATGAGAAGAAAATTAAATTTTGAGCTTGTAAACATGTAGATTGGGCCATTTGAAAATTGGATAGTCACTGTTCAATCTCTGAAATTAGTTTTCCATGCACAAGTAGAGGGTGTATATTTTTATTTCTTTTAATTTTTATGGTTGGTCCAAGTTGAGGAGTTTACATCCTCAAAATCATCATTATCATCATCATAGCTTTTTTCTCAATTTAGATCCCCAAAATGTGGGGTTAAAATACTCATGAATTTTACTATTGGGAATGAATCTAGGATGTGCTCTCGCTGGAGCATATAATCTAATAGGAAAAGAGAATATATATTATGAAGATGAATACAGAAGAAGTTTAATGGGCTATCCAATATCATGATAGCAGTTTTTTCTTGATAATGGTTCAAATAATGAGAGCTTTTAGCATGGTTCAAAATTCAAAAAATAAGGATGAATCATAATTCATTAATACAGACAATCTAATTGACCAAAAGGGACCATATGATGAACTTTTGCATGGAAGAAGAACTAGAGATCAACATTAATTGACCAAAAGGGAGTCAATTTGTTTTTTTTTTTTAAATATTAAATTTCATATTTATTATGGGGTCTCTTGTATCATGATTTGTGGCTTTTTCCCCTTTCAGATCATTATAACTTTGGAAAGGTGTTTGGTGACTCGGTTTTAAGGGATCTAAGACCCAAAGTACATCTAGAGGATTGAAATTAACTGTGTTAAAAACAGTTATAAGATGGAACATTTTTTAGATTTAAATTTATTTTATTTTTCACATTTATAATTGTGGTAGCCGAAATGATAAATATGTGAAGTTTTGAATCCTTCATACCAAAGTGAAGTTTGGACGGTGTACGGGTTGCCTAGTAACACGGCTAAACCCTACTCCTACAACTTGTACTCTATTATAATCAGTGGTGGGACCATAAGTAATGTTCTCAAAAGAGAAGAAACTCAACAGAGGCACTTGATAACGATGTGATACCCATAAAAAGTAAACGTCCACACCACATTAAAGGTTTCTTCCCCAAATTAAATGAACTCCTAAACAATTAAAGTAAGATACACCTTCAAATGGTGCCGAAATATTTTGTTTTAATCTCAAAAATATTAAAATGACATGAAGATTTAAATATTAAAAATAATGTAGATTAAACAGATCTATGGACACTTGAAAAACTTGAATATTGATGGTCCAGATAATACTTTACAAGAGAGCGAGGTTTGATGAATTCTCATGTACATAAATCTTGAGGTTCTATCGGCTAAATCTTAAAATTTTAATAAAAAAATAATGAAAGAGAGTAATAATGAAAGAGAGTGAGGCTCAACGAATTTTCATTGTTTTGGTTTTGGTCAGCATGTCGAGTCGGAGTCACTTGGGCGAGTCCAAGTTAGATTTGCCGAATTTTAAGTCACTATATACCTTAATAATACAATATAAGAGTTTTATACAAGCCTATATATTGTGGATCAAGATTCATGTAGGCAATCCCGAATAATTGAAAAAAGACTTGATGATGACGATGATGACGACGATGATGATACATGCCTATATATTATACGAGAACTCTTACACACTTTTGTAACATAGTCAAATATGAAGGGTGGCAATGGGCTAGGCCTGGACCTAGCCCAAGCAGGGTTGGGCAAGGTCAAGCTCGAGCCCCTGTAGGCCTGGACTTGTGCCGAGGCGGCCTAGCACAATCCTAGTCAAATTCTTGCCTGACCGGACCTAATAGAAATCAAACAAGAAAGACAAGGAAATAATAACCTGTGAGGGCTGGCTATGGCTCAACCTAACTCTACTACCATATTTTGTGGCCCAGGTCCAAGTTTTTCTGGAGAGGGACTAGGCCGGCCTTTTGCCAGCCCCAAGTAAACGCCCCAATATCACTGTAGAATTTTCGATTGCTATTTCCAATACAAACCAAATTAAGTCAACGAGGATATTGAAAAGCGGGAGAAATATTAACAATCATACGAGTTATTAGCTCCGACATTTACAACTATCCAATTTGAAATTTAACGGACAAAATTGATTGTGACATCGTTGTATTAAAAGTAAATGGTCTCTTTGTATATTTTTTCTTCTCTCTACATCCCTCCTTGCTAGAACTATGTGAGACCTACTAGAAATCCCTAGAAATAACATTCAAACAGTGTTATCAGTGTTATGAGACTCGATCTAGTCCACTTGAACTCGACCAAGTAACTCGGCCTAGCCCTAGTAGTGAGGCAAGTTGAGGGTGAATTAGATGCCCAACTTTGCCCGCAGAAGCCACAAAATACATTATAAAAAAAGTTGCCAAATATAAAAAAACTAGAAAACATCAATACATCCGTTAGAAATATTATTTTAGATGATTTTGATAATTTTTAAGATGATTTGGGAACTTCCATTTTTTTTTCCTAATTTTATGAAATTTTCAATATGTAAATCAAAATTTTCAATAGTCCATCTTTTATAGATTTTTTCATCTCCTTTATTTTTTTCATCTTCTTTAGTCTTCTAATAGCTTCTATTTAAGTCAAATTATATGATATCTTACTATTTTTAAAAAAAAATTAAATTTTCTTTCGTTTTGCAACAATTAAAAGGAATGCGCTTAACTCGTCCGAGTCCCTAGTACTCGGCCGAGGCAATTTCCAAAACATTGCTTTAAATATTAAAATTATTTGGATAAAAAACCAAGTCACCTATTTTCTTGGAATTTAAGCTTGTTGTTATTTGATATTTTTCTTTGTACTTTGAATATTTTAGCTGGTATCACCAAGTAAATATATGACCAGCCAAAAATACCTCTTCTTTTTCAAAACCACATAAACCTTTTTGATAAATTTCTCTAAAATTTCCTCTAAATACCACTCACACATCTAAGAAAAATGAGGATAGATCACAGCAATATGTTACATTTACCATGATACAACTAGAAATATGAAAATCGATTCATATAAGAGCAAAATATCAGATAAATTCAAAGAGAACTTGGAAAATTAGAAGAACCCCAGATGAATTTAGAGATAATTCTTGCTAACTTGGATGGAAATAGATAAAATTTAGAGGTAAAGATATAGTTAGAGAGAGAGAGAGAGAGAGAGAGAGAGAGAGAGAGAGAGAGAGAGAGAG